GCGACTGGAGGATTGAAGGATACCAAGCAATCCCTTGCTTCTGTTTGCTATGGAGGGAAGTGTGGAAAGTATCATAAAAATAACGTAATGGGCCAAACGTGGCATGAGCAAATTGATGATCATTAACAACAGCATAGCAAGAAGCTACAACATCATTAACAACCACAGTACCTTCTCTTGTCAGTGGGGCATACGCACCCTTGATGACTTTGCTTGATGTGCTAAAGACTTCAACTGCTTCGATAACATCAGGAGATTTAGCAACAAATATCTTGTCACCTTTTTTCACTTGTGAAGCGAATATAGGTACAGATGATGAGATGTCATTTGTTTTGCTTGCATGAACAAGGTGGTTTGGTGTGAGTGTCAGCTTGTGATTACCTGATGACTCTATGATAGTATAATTTGCTAGTTTAATGTCATCAACATCCAACATCAATATAACTGGACTATAGACTAGTTTATGGTTAGAACTCACAGCTAAAAGTTCCATTCCAATCTCAACGTCTTTCATGAGCAATGGACCGTTTCTTGTACGCACTACTGCATCTGGAGGAAAACAACCACCGCCACCACCACCACTGTTGGTGTTTGGACTGGTAGCACTTGTTCCTGTTGGTTCTGATGTTGGTAATGGAGTAACAGCAGTTGCTGAAATAAACTGGTCTGTTGCCAGTGGAAAGTCTCCACATTTGTACATTCCTCCAGGAGGTGGTGTTTTAAATCCTCCTTCATTAATGATGACTCCCATTCCCTCCAATTGATGTACCTCAATATGACAGTGTAGGAACCACCAACCAGGATTATCAGTTTTAAAATACACAACAGCATACCCACCAGCTGGTATTAACAGAGTATCCTTCAGTGGGGCTTTAGATGAGACCCTGCCTGTCACTCCTGTACGTGTAGAGTAATCTTTACCAGGTTTCCAGCGAGGCCTAACACATAGTGTATCACCTCCACAATCAATATCACTATTACCAGCTATAAGTCTTCCTGTGACAAGATCAGTTGTTCCAAATTGAATATCGACCACATGAAAGTAATGTCCATGTAAATGTACTGGATGAGCGAATAGAAAGTTGGTTCGCTGTGTTGGGTTTGGTCCAACGGCTGATATTACTAATTCATAGGGACGATCAGCCTCTGCATCAACGACATGAGTGCAGTAGCAATCCTGGGATATGACTTCATTGGTATTATCACGGTCACACTTCTTTTCATCATTCTCATTTTTCTCGTCTTTACAATATTCATTATCTCTAATATCAGTTAGTTCACTTGCCTCAAGCTGTGCCAGTGATGCTGATGGTAGTTTTAGGTTACGTCCATTAATAGTGCTGGTCTGACGTGTTCCTTCAAAACCGAAATTGAAGAATAACCTTGAATTATCAGAAGTAGCAACATCAGGCAGTTCTCCAGGATAGTCAGTCAGTGATTCTAAATCATGAATATGTATGCAGTCAATGTTGAAACTTACAGGAAAGTTTTGAAAAGGACAATTAAGAGCTTCACACTTATCAGTAGAAGTACATATATCTCTATATGACATCTGACTTCTCATAGCAATTGCTTGATATTGATTGGATTCTATTGATTGTTGATTATAGTTAAGAATAGCTTCTGCAGAGCCTCTTTCCTCCATTGTGTTAGATAATATTACAGCCCGCATCATGAATTCTTTGTTCATCTCATTTTCATTTTTTGTTTGTAGGAGAAAATCATACCTTTCTCCAGAATGAATTATAATATAATCAACTACTATATCTTTCTTCATTCCAGAACCAGAGCCAACATTATTTGCTTTTGGATTAATATACTGACCATCAGTTGCTATAATGATTAATTTATGACCATCTATTGAGAAACGATAAGCATAAAGACTCTGAGCACCAATTAAACGAAATCGGTACGTTTTTCCAGCTGTAACTTTAAACTCACTTAAACTAGATTTAATGTAATCAACACTATTATGCCTTCCCCTTCCATTTATTAGTCCAGACCAATAAGGCACGGGCCCTATCTCTGCACCATCTGATGAATATAATCTGTCAGCTCCTGATCCAGACACTTCTGATGCCTGGTCAATGTCAAAGTATCTTATGGTTGAGTGTATTTGTGTGAAGAGATCCAGTGAGCTTGACTTCTGCCAGTCTAGTAAGATTAAAGTGTGCTGCTCAGGGCTGTCTTCATAGGATGTTATTCTAAAATCCATTAATTCTTTAACTTCTTCCAACAACTTTTCTTTTAGTTTGTCATCCTTCTCTTTAACAATGAGAGCTCCAAAAAGTCCATCAGTTCTCTGAGCTCCACTGTGAGAGTGGTACCAGTGAGTCCCGTATTGTTCAGCTTTAAAGATATAAGTGAAACTAGCTCCTGGAGGTATACCACACTGTGTAACATGCTCCACTCCATCCATCCAGTTACTGTTCCTTTGATGCATCCCATGCCAGTGTACAGATACACTCTCTGATGCTAATCTATTGATTACATTCACTTTAACCAACTGACCCTCAGTTACAATGAGTGTTGGTCCTGGTATACGTCCATTGACTGCTATAAAGGAACGAAATGTGTACCCATCAACAGTAAATGGATCTGTGCAACGATTATCTCCAAGAGGTATATCAACTCCACAAGGACCTTCACTACCTTGTGGTTGTAGGTTTCCTGCATCATTATAATTCCAAACACGTCCAGCAGTTCCCCTTGAGTCTCCAGTAGCATCAACTACATATCGAGTGAAGGTCTGCAGCATTTCAATATCAAGTCTAAACTCGCATACATCAGTAGGATCTGTAGCTGTGCATTTACATACTGGAGTATTGTGATTACAGGGAACGACTTCAGAATAAGTTCCTCTTATAAATAAGAGAGAGAAGACTAGTATAGTTTGTACTATAAGCATATTTGATCCGTACCAAAAATTTGCTCAGAATTGTAAAGAAGCTAGTCCGATTCCTCCTTTATATATAGTATACTGGTCTAGTACTGTACAAACTGTTCTGGGAATCATTATCTATTAAATGCTGAGGTTGTATTGATAGTAATACTAATGCAGGAAGTGCAAGGACTGCCCACTATAGCACTTAAAACTAAATGTCTTGCCAATACCAGAATTTACCAGCCAACTGAAATGAACTGATCTGATTAAAGCTGCTTTCAACCACACTAAGTGCCTATAAACATATAATATAGTGTTAAAACTTTGCCAACTCTTATGTACAGTGTGTGTATTATGTTTACAAGCACTACCAGTTGCAATGTGAATTGGCCTTAAGACAGAACACTAAAATTTAGAGAGAGAGGGGGGGGGGAAAGTTCGAAAACCTTAGCAAAAATATTATTGTAACATTTCTTATTTTTTGTTATCTCAATGAACTAGTTATATACAATCCTTCTATCATCTTCTGATCATATTATAAGTAGTATTGTTGCCAGTTGCTATGATAAGAGTAGTGAAATGGCTACACTGTATTGTATTTGTGATGTATTTTGACTATTTTAATAATAGGTTTTTATGACAAGTACCTTTCATACATGTCTGTAAATTGCTACACAATCTGCGATTATCACATGTATACTGTTATCAGTTTTGTAAGTAAGAGTATAAATGCAATTATACTCTATTCCTAAGCCCTAACTCAATTCACCCTCGCACTTCATGCATAAGTTCTTATTAGTATGTGCATATTCTTTCTTGTATTACACACATGTACAAAGCAGATACCATATGGCACTTATATTTTGTGGATAATAAATTTTACTATTTTTGTGGATGGTTAAAATTTGCGAAATTAAATTTCATCGAAAATTTATTTGCCACACCTTGTTCAATGAATAAATAGATCATTTTGCAAAATTTTTTATCCATGAGTGCTCAGCAGGGAAAAATTTGCAAAATTTCATATCCACAAAATATAAGTGCTACACAGTACTGCCAGACAGACACCAGATGTTCACAGTTCCTGGAATTGCTTATTTAGATAATGATCTTTGGGTGGGATTAGCTTGGTATGGTTTGTTAAGGCATATGCAAAATGTTATATTAAATAAAACTATGATCTATACTGTAGTTTAATGTTACATATATGCTCATAGTGAGGGATTGTAAGTAAGTTCATGCCATACTTTTTGTGGCAGAATACTGATAACATTATGGTATAGATATTGTAACCTATATAACCACTGATATTAGCGTAGCTACCTGTGGTTTATGCCAGGTGTTACTATGCGACACATAATGGTAATGAATACTGTGCCAGTATATAGTTACTAGTATAGTATATCCCATCTCTGGTGCTCTGAGACTGATGATTATAGTTCAGTTACTGATTTAATCACAGTAATGGTATTGTATGTGAATAGCAGCAAGCTTGTTATAGGAAAATTGAATGAACAGTAATACTAAGAAACATATGCATACATTTGAGTATGTAATACTACTAATCTATATGTAAATTGTACATTTTATTACAGTTCTTGACAGCTAAAGAAAAAGAGGGAAACATAACTACTAGCCTCGTAGAAGTAGACCAATCTAGGGGTGGGGATTATGAAATTGTGTACATAGTTTGAATGCTGAAAGGTGTATGTGTGTTTTATTATGCTAGCTTTTTTATTGTTCCTTTTTGCAAGATAAATTCGCTCTCTCTTTACTGAGACATTTAATCTCAGGATGGTCTGTTTAGATTATTACTTTAACAGCCTATTATGGTTACGTTAGTCTATTATATCGCTGATATAATGTACTCCTTAATATATCCTCTGGATTACCTGCAGTATTAGTGTATCAGTTAATGAGTGTTCAGGTATAGACTGACCTAATGTATTGAGATATAATGACTATATTGCTCTTGCCACTAATAATAATGACAACAACAATAGCTAATCATATTAGCATACACATGCAGCAAATATCTAATATTAAAATGTTCACTGTTTTATGTATTATTATAGTATAGTATTTCTACTGTTCATTAGTGTACTTTATTGTTAGTTGAAGAGGTCAGCAATAGAACGAATGTTGGTACTGGTGTTAGTGCCAATGTATCATTTGAAATTACGCCATGCATTGAACTCGTCTATTGTCAATGAAAAATTTCCACATTTATACATGCCATCAGGTGGTGGTGTTTTTGTCCCTCTTTCATTAATGATGACTCCCATTCCCTCCAATTGATGTACCTCAATATGACAGTGTAGAAACCACCAACCAGGATTATCAGTTTTAAAATACACAACAGCATACCCACCAGCTGGTATTAACAGAGTATCCTTTAGTGGGGCTTTAGGTGAGACCCTTGCCATTCCTGTACGTGTAGAGTAGTCCCTATTAGTTTTCCAGCGAGGTCGAACACATAGGTAACTATTCCCACAATCAATTGTGTCATTACCAGCTATAAGTATTCCATTATCATCATACTCACCAAATGCAATTTCAACCACGTGAAAGTAATGACCATGAAGATGTATTGGATGAGCGAACGCGTAGTTATTTCGTTGTTCTTTTGATCCAGTTGCTGATAGAACTAGTTCGATAGAACTATCAGCCTCTGCATCAACAACATGAGTGCAGTGGCAATCGGGTGATATCACTTCTACTTCATTATTACGATCACACTTATTTGTATTTGGCTCTTTGTTTTTTGGGTGCATGCAGTATTCATTATTTTCAATATCAGCTAATTTATTTGGCTCAAGCTGTGCCAGTGATGCCGATGGTAGTTTTAGGTTACGTCCATTAATGGAACTAGTACGACGTGTTCCTTCGAAACCAAAATTAAAGAATAACCTTTTACTGTTATCAGTAGCAATTGTAGGCACGTCTTCAGGATAGTCAGTTAGTAGTTTTAAATCAGTAATATGCATACAGTCAATATTGATAGCCTCTGGAAATTCTTTAAAAGGACAGTTAAGAGCTACACACCTATCAGTACATCTTTGACTAACATTTTGAATTCTTTTAGCAATACCTGCATAGTCACTGGAGGGTGTAGTAACACTGTTGTAATTGAGAATAGCTTCTGCTGACTGTTCTTCTAAATAAGTTGATGTTGCAGTAAACTTTAAAGTAACTGCACGTATCATGAACTGTCGAATAGTGGTCGCTTCTTTTGCTTTCAAAAGGAAGTCATATCTTTCTCCAGAATGTATTATAATATAATCGACTGTCACTGGTTCAATAAACTGACCATCAGTTGCTATTACTGTTAATTTATGATCTTCTATTGAGAAACGATAAGCATAAAGACTCTGAGCACCAATTAAACGAAATCGATAAGTTTGTCCTGTGGTAACTTTGAAATCACTTAAAATAGAATTGATGTATTCAATATTGTTATTTCTTCCTCTTCCATTTATAAGTCCAGACCAATAAGGCACGGGCCCTATGAATGCCCCATCTGTTGAACTGGTACCTGTAGCTGCTCTATTCCCTTGCAGTTCTGATGCTTTGTCAATGTTGAAGTACCTGATACTTGACTGTATTAGTGTGAAGAGATCCAGTGAGCTTGACTTTTGCCAGTCAAGAAGAGTGAGAGTATGTTCACCAGGATTATCCACATAAGTATTTCGTGGTATGTTCATGTCATTCAATTTGTTCAGGAAGGCAGTGTATTGTGCATTACCTTGCTCCTTCTCTTTAACAATGAGAGCTCCAAAGAGTCCATCAGTTCTCTGAGCTCCACTGTGAGAGTGGTACCAGTGAGTCCCGTATTGTTCAGCTTTAAAGATATAAGTGAAACTAGCTCCTGGAGGTATACCACACTGTGTAACATGCTCCACTCCATCCATCCAGTTACTGTTCCTTTGATGCATCCCATGCCAGTGTACAGATACACTCTCTGATGCTAATCTATTGATTACATTCACTTTAACCAACTGACCCTCAGTTACAATGAGTGTTGGTCCTGGTATACGTCCATTGACTGCTATAAAGGAACGAAACGTGTACCCATCAACACCAAACGGTTGAGTGCATCTTTTAGATTCCTCACTATCAATAGAACTACCACAGAGAGTATTACGGCCGATACTAGGATCATAATCAACTGGTTCCCATTCTCCATTATTAATATGCCAGACACTGCCTGCAGTACCCCTTGAGTCTTTATCATCATCCAGCAGATATCGGGTAAAGGTCTGGAGCATCTCAATATCAAGTGTAAACTCACATGCTTCTTTAGCAGGATCCATGCACTCACATACTGGTGTATTGTGATTGCATGGGACAACCTCAATCTCAGAATATATTCCCCTTACAAAGAAGAGGGAGAAAAATATAGCCTGTGGTAATAGCATGGATATAGTTAGTAAAGAAACTCTTCCAATAGTCTCCTTGGTAGAAAGTATAGCCCTGCTAACTGCTTTCTTTCTGTTTGATGTAGTATTCCTAAAAATAATCCCCAGCTCACATATAAGGTAGTGCTATAGTAACAATCCTCCTAAATGCTTTGATAGTGGTGAGTGAAGGGTCAGCCCACATAGACTGTGGTTGATGGATAGTGAGAGAGAGAGTGACAACACTCAGAACACTGTACATGTATGTAAAGTGACGTTTGGCGTTTTTGGAGAGAGATGGTACAGTATGGAGTGGAGTTTCATGATATCAATTAGTTATGCTGTATCACTGAGAGTATTATGACTATACTATGACTATAAAGATATAATAAGTTTTTTGTATAGTGATTATAGCTTTGTGTCCTCAATGCCTATACATGTACATGTCACAATCTGTATAAAATGGTATATGAGATTAGTGCAAAGCACATTTTTATGACACATCATTAGTAGTTTAAACATCATTTTCTTGTATGTACTGGTGCAACAATTACTTTCTTGGCTTCTATCTCAATATACTCTCTTTCTGCACAAACTAGACTAGACAAACCTTATAGACACAGACACAGGTGTGCACAGTTCCTGGAATTGCCTTGTTTAGATAATGACTTTGGAGTGGGTTTGCTTTGGGTTTGCATGAAGCAAGATTCTTTTTATTGAATTTACTATATCATTTATGAAAATAGTTATTCTACTGTATATTATGTACATGTGGTAACAACTGTGCTATAGTCAATGTAGACATTAGTTTATTGTTAATGGCAAACATTATAATCTTTGTTGCTTGAGGTTATTAAAGCTATTCATTATTAGTAGTGTCTTTTAGTTATTCCTAAAGAATGTCCATTTCACACTGAAATAAGGCATATGTATATCCATTAATTGTATGTAGAGTTTCTCAAAATTTAGAGCACTTTTTGTAATCATGCATACACTTTGCAATTTCTCTGAATTTTAATACTTTTTGCAATTGTATACATAATTCAACTACTAGGTACATATGCTGTGGTTGTGAATACCTATTAATAACTGTTAATAGTAATTTTGTGTAGTACTTACATGTACGGCTGGTGTAAATCAGACTATAATGGTTCAGGTAAAGATTTTGTTTTATAACCTGATATGGTCAAAGCAAGCTAATATCCAGCCTCCTCAAGGTATACAGAGGACGAACACAGTTAATTTGACTGTGAGGGCATACAGAGATGACCAGGGGAAGCCATATCTATTGAATGTAGAAACAAGTTAGTGAATGGACACATGTGCATGTACATACACATATATGCAATGTCTACTGTTTTTGGCATTTTGTTAAAATGACCATAGCTCAACAGATTAATTCAAACTTTCTACATACATGTAGCATAAGTGCATCAATATATGACAATACATAGAGTAATTTTAGTGGTTAAAATTTTACAAATCAATCACAAAGACAGTGTAAATCATTCAACCTTAAGTAATTAAGTTTTATGTTACTACAAAAATTAACTACTGTATTTAATTTTGTACGTACTGACTTATAGTGCTGGTCTCCAGGAGTGGTTTCATCTCCTCTTCCTCTTTTTTCTTCGACTCTTTTGTGCTCTGTTCCTCTTCCCCTTCTTTCTTTGACCCTTTCGTGCTCTGTTCCTCTTCTTTCTTCAACCTTTCCATGCTCGTTTCTTTCCCCTTCATTTCTTTTTTACTATTTTTATTATTTTTGTAGCATTTGCAGCACATGTAGCAGCAGCAGAATAAAATTATGCACAAAATAATAAAACCTGTAGTACATCCTAAAACAATAGTAGCAATTTCATATCCACCCTTAGGAGGTTTAAGCTTGCCCTTTATTGCTTTCTTGTACTCATCTACTGTAAATTCAAAATTACCACATTTCTGCATTGTGTAAGGAGCGGGTATTTTCTTATCATCTCCTTCATTAATGATGACTCCCATTCCCTCCAATTGATGTACCTCAATATGACAGTGTAGGAACCACCAACCAGGATTATCAGTTTTAAAATACACAACAGCATACCCACCAGCTGGTATTAACAGAGTATCCTTCAGTGGGGCTTTAGATGGGACCTTTGTCCTTCCTGTACGTGTAGAGTAATCTTTATTAGGTTCCCAGCGAGGTTTAACACATAGTGTATCTCCTCCACAATTTAAATCACTATTGCCAGCTATAAGTTCACCTGATTGACCTAATGTTCCAAACTGAATATCAACCACATGAAAATAATGTCCATGAAGATGTACTGGATGAGCAAATCGAAAGTTATTTAGTGACATAGATTTTGGTCCAACGGCTGATATCACTAATTCAATGGAACGATCAGCCTCTGCATCAACGACATGAGTGCAGTAGCAATCAGTGGATATCACTTCTTGTGTGTTATCACGATCACACTTCTTTTCATCATTCTCATTTTTCTCATCTTTACAATATTCTTTTTTTGATATCAGCCAATTTATTTGGCTCAAGCTGTGCCAGTGATGCTGATGGTAGTTTTAGGTTGCGGCCATTAATAGTGCTGGTCTGACGTGTTCCCTCGAAACCAAAATTGAAGAATAATCTTGACTTATCATCAGTAGCATTAGTAGGCAAATCATTAGCAGGATAGTCAATTAGTAGTTCTAAATTATTAATATGCATACAGTCAATGTTGAAATCTTGAGGGAATCTCTCAAAAGGACAATTGAGAGCTTTACACTTCTTAATTTGTCTTTGTACATTTGCTAACAACCATAGGGGTAGGAACAAACTAAAAGTTGGGGGGGCTAAGGTATTATTTATTGGCAATCATAGGAACATGATTTAACAATTGATCATTGTACTGAAATTAATATTGTCCAAAATACTGGCATCTATGCTCATTAAATGTAACAAATTCCTTTGCAATGTCCTCAATGTATAAATCGTCTGTAAATTCTTTATGAGTATGCTAAATAACTACATGATTAAGACGCTCTTGTGACATTGTGGAGCACAAGTAGTTTTTTAATCTCCTTAACATCAAAAATCTATGCTCAGCTAAAGCTAATGTTGAAGCTTGTGTAATTCTGAAAAAACTAGTGTGTTCTTAGAAGCTAGATTGAATTAATTGTTTTATGAAATGAATCATCACACAATATGCACACATATAAGGATTACCTAAACTAAAGTCTATAGTGTTGATAATAGTAATACATGTACATCACTTAAAGTTGGAGGGGCTAAGCCCCCCTTCAATGAAAGTTGGGGGGGCTTAAGCCCCTCCTGCCCCCCCTGTTCCTACCCCTATGCTAACAACCTTTTGAATACCTGCAGCAATATCTTTATATTGACTGGATGATGGTGGATTTGACTCATCTGAGCCATAATAAAGAATAGCTTCTGCTGACCCTCCTTGGCTGGTGTATGATTCCTCTAAAGATTCTTCAGTAAAGTTTAGTATTACTGCTTGCATCATGAACCCTTTTGTATCCCCTACCTCAGATTTGCTTTTTGCTTTGAGAAGAAAATCATACCTTTCTCCAGAATGTATTATAATATAATCAACTTCTGTATTTTGTTTTGGGTCTGTATTTACATTTGATGGATTAATATACTCGCCATCAGTTGCTATTACTGTTAATTTATGATCTTCTATTGAGAAACGATAAGCATAAAGACTCTGAGCACCAATTAAACGAAATCGATAAGTTTGTCCATAATTAACTTTGAAATCGCTTAGCTTAGAATTTTCATATTTTACTCCAAAATTTTTTCCTTTTCCATTTATAAGTCCAGACCAATAAGGCACGGGCCCTATTTCTACACCATCAGATGAAGTAGCCATTCCAGCTCCTGATCCAGACAGTTCTAGTGCACTGTCAATATTGAAGTACCTGATGCTTGAGTGTATTTGTGTGAAG